TTTTTGGGCAATTTTCTCAGTCTTCGTGGTGGATTTTTCTAGGCCAGCAATTTTCTCTTCTGTCTGAGATTCTATCTTCTATATGATCTAGTTTGTTTTTAATACTTTCAAGGGAGATTTTTGACTTCCTGTATTATAGCCTTCATCTCTAACAGTTCAGTTTGATTCTTTTTTAAAGTGTGTAATTCCTCTTTTAGATCTTTCCTCACCTCCTAGAACTCATCAGCTCCTTTCTCCTTTCTCTTCTGCAGTTCATTGTCTCTCTTCACTTCCATCTCTGTTAGCTTCACCATTATGAATGTTCTAAATTCTTGGAATTCTAAATTCTATGGAAATCATGGAAATGTCTGTGGATAAAGAAGAGTTATGCTTTTCCCTTGGAGGAGAGGTATTTTCTTGCTTTCCCATATTTCTTGTGGCCCTGTGGTGATTTCTAGTCATCTGATGGATGGTGTGTTTCTTCCCACACTTGAAGTTCAATCTGAGCATCCAGGAGCATGCAGAAAAGGAAACAGAGAGAGAAACAACAGTAACAAAAACAACCAAGAAACAGAGAAAAGAGAAGAAAAAAAAATTTTTTTTAATTATTTTTTTTTAAAAAAAGCAAAAATTAGAAAACCACTAGTTCTCAGGAGCCATGAAGGTGTCTTCTGAGGTCCTGCTCCCTTGCCTCTCCTCGGTTTGGAGGGGTAGAGGGGATTATTAACAAGATAAAGGGAAAGGAGGGGCTGAAAGCCAAGAAAATGCTTTACTTTTAAAAAATTTAGAAAAGAAAAATTACAAAAAAATGAGAAGACAGACAGAAGGCTTGAAAGGCTTCCTACCACTCGAGTTTGTGGGCTGGAGGCTGAATTATTAGTGGAAAATCTTCATTTCGCTTATTCCTCTGAAATCACTAGTTTCAGGAGCCATGAAAGTGTCTTCTGAAGTCCTGCTCCCTTGCCTCTCCACTTGAGTTTGTGGGCTGGAGGCTGAATTATTAGTGGAAAATCTTCATTTCGCTTATTCCTCTGAAATCACTAGTTTCAGGAGCCATGAAAGTGTCTTCTGAAGTCCTGCTCCCTTGCCTCTCCCTAAGTCTACATATTTTAAAAGACATATTAGCTTCTGAATGGATCATTGAGCACATCAGATTTAGACAAGAGCTATTAGTTTTTGTGAGAGGAAATTTCAAATGGAAATCAACTTTTCAAAAAGAAAAATCTTTTCGGAAAATTTGAAACTTACCAAATCAATAGGATAAATGTAGGAAAGCTCAGAGAGTAATTGCCTGCAACGAATTGTCAACTGAGCATTAGTCTTCAAAAAGAGTTCTCTAATGAGGAAAGAAAGAAAAGTACATGTATTAAAAAAAAACTCTGGTATATTTCCTAACATTTATGTCTACATTATTAATGCAAAGAAAGATGAAATGGTCTGTAGTAGTGCATGGAAACTCGGAAACAGAAATAATATTAATAGCTACCATGAGTCCTGACTGATCTCTATATAGTATCAATCAAGCTAACTCAGTATACAGTAGCTATACTGAGGGCCACTGTGTGTGCCCAGCACCACGCAAAGAGAGACAATCATTTACTGAGCACCTACAACGATGTGCAGCGACATTACAACGGGAATAGGTAGATATTATCATACCCACTTATAAATTAGGAAACAAGATTTTGAGAAGCTGAGTAAGCTGATCAAAGTCTCATAGCCAATATTTAGTGAGGCCAATTTGATTTTTGGAAAGATCCAGAGAATATTTCTTCAAAAAAAGTATTCTTTCACTTATAATTACATATTATAACTACCTCAAAAATCAACCTGTTCGGAACCAGCAGTTAGTGTAATGGCTATGTCGCTGACTCCCATGTAGTCGACCGCGGTTCACGTCCCGGACCCGGTGGCTTAAAACTCACGTCGGGCGCATGTGCGTGCATGCCCAAGATCCCGAGAGGAGAATGGGGGAGAAGGGATTGTGGCTTGACCATCCCCCCTGGGGGGTGATTTCTCGCTTTCTGTCTCTCTGTCTCTCTCTGTCTGTCTGGCGAGCGCACACGCCCTATAGCGAAAAAAACCTCTCAAAAAAAAAAAATTAACCTGTTGAAATGCTAGAAAAATAATAAAGTAAAAACAAGTAAAATGTTATAGAATGACCTAATTCTTCTCTTAAAGTACTTAAGAATATAAAACCAGTAGGTAAAGTACCCATAGAATAAATTACCTTTTCAACTATGTTAACAATTTAAGAACAAAAGAAATTTAGGAAAAATCATAGGTCAACGTAGAATGGAGGAGTCAGCGGGTGGTGTGGTGATTAAAGCACTAGACACTCCCACATGGCCGACCGCACCTGGAGTCCCAGATCTGGTGGCTTGCTTTCTCACTTTCCTTCTATCTGTGTGTCTGTCTACCTCTGGTCAAATGAAAATGAATGAATGAATAAATAAAATTAAATAAACAATTCTTTAAAAAGAAAAGTAGAATGGAAAAGTGGTATAATGCAAAGAGCATTTGCACAATATGAAACATCTATATGGTCTTTGTTATTGGTTCCTATCACAGCATCTAAAACCCTTGGAATTTCCTGAATAACAGGAACACCTTTTGTTACTCATAATGAGCCCCTTTGGATCACAACAGAGTTTATGCCAGTGAAGTGACTTAGGATGGGACCGATCTGGGATCTGACACTCTCTCCAGGTAGAAAAATATCCCAACTGAATTAAATTATAGGACTCCCAATTGGTATATCCTGGAGAATCTAGTGTCAGAAATGTTGTGTCAAATGACATGTGGGAGTAGGAGAAACACTTTAGTTTTTCCCATCTAAAACAGCACTGAAGACTTAATGGGATCTGATCCTGTCTTTGCTAGAGAGCAGGATAAATAGTAACTTCCCAGAGCCTTGCATTCCATCTCAATGAGATTCCAAACTGAAGAGACTACAACAGATGTCTCTGTGGTTCTTTTTAGACTGAGCATTTTTGAATCCTCACTTGTTAGGATTCCCAAAGACAAATGCAGAATAAGAGGACTTTCTAGGAAAAGAAAGTGAAGAGGAGCAAAAGTACAGAGGTGGCAGTGGATTAAGCACACACTAGAAATAAATAAAGAGAAAAGCTATTACCATTTGTTAAATGAATGTTGGGTAGTGACTAAAGTCAACTAAGGTTGGCCAGTGCCAACTTATTGAAAGCTATTTGAAAGTTAAGCTAAGGAATTTCCACACAAGGAAGAGAAAAATTAGGATAAAATAGTATGTTCAAAGGAAAAGTCTGATAGCAATACAGAGGATGAAGCAGAAAGACAGAGAAACTAATGTGACAGAGAATATCTAGGGTCTGCTGAGGTAATTCTCATAAGCTAACACCCATAAGTATGAAGAAATTAAGAAAAGTTAGCAGGCTAAACCGCATGCAGAAGAAAGGAAGATTCACACACAAAGCCACAATGTTGTGGCCTGAGAAACTGGAAGAACAGTGTTTGTGTTTCTTATTATGGCCACATAACCTCTACCGCAATGCATAATCCATACTGGGCACTTAATAAATATCTGCTGAATGAATGAAAGTGGTGCTGAAGCATATGGGATATAAATTAATATCAGCGGCTCGTAAAGAAGGCTACTTTTTCAAGTCTATTTTCACAGTAAACACCACTCACAGAGAGTATTCTCAGGTTGCGTTTACCTTTTGGCAGTGCACTCCTTCCTCAACTCATTTAGGGATTCCTTCTGGAGTTGAAGCTTGAGGTGCTCAGTTGAAAACGCACTTCCTGGAGAGAGGGATGGAAGGAGATAATTCTAAATGTAACATCACAGATAGGCTTGCTCAGTCATAAGCGAGCATGCAGGGCCCAGCCCCCTGACTGTGAGAGGAAAATGAGTTAGAAGGCCAAGTGGATAGAGTATAGAGGTATTCAAGGGAGAATAAGTAGAATACACTTCTCTGTTGGTTCACTTCTCATACAAGTCAAGCATCTAGCAGGAGCCGAAGAATTTTAGAACCCTCTGAGAAACAATGTTTCTCAATTGTTAACCAAGAAATCTTGAAAACAGTGGTTAGCACCAGGTGGTATTCTGTGGTGATGCAACTGGGAAAAATCCTGGGTTCGCATCCCAGGTTCATGCATACATGCCCATGTGATACAAGACAGCTGAGACTGGAGATGGAGTGTGGCATGAGAATCCTGTTGGAGATGATCTTGGCCACTCTCCTGTCTTTCTCTTTCTCTCTCATGGATAAAATTTTAAAACTTACAAATGTTATATAAAGACATTATTCAAAGTGTAACATGTAGAGCAGAAAAAACAACTTGCCTTTTGACTATTACAATTCAGTTCATAAGCATAAATAGCTTGTATGAACTTTAATCTTGTTTGTAAATATAAGCAGTTATGGTGAAAAGTATACTGTACAGGAAATAGATATTTTGACTTTTCCATATTATGTCACAAGCATTGTTACCTGTTGCTAGCCTGAGCTATGGTTGTGTACAATTTAACTCCATAAATGTGAATTATAGGCGTATTCCACATTCTAACTAATTCCCTATCCCCCAATCCTATTGCAGTACCTTTCATTTCCTTTAAGCATTTGCTTTAGAGTGAGTCTGATTAGTTAGGCTCAGATATAGGAAAACTAAACATTGGAAGGTACTTCAGAAAAATCGATCAAAACTCTAAAAGTCACTTCGTAGGAAGTAATAATACTGAGGCAACAGTGTACTCAATCTGTACAGAGATTAATTAGATTAGTTATACACTATCAACCTGGACATTATATGACTGGTGGTATGTCCTAAGGCTATCACACCAGAAAATAATGATGTCCATCTTTAAGACTATGTATATATCCTACTTCTCATCTAAATTTCTCCCTACATTTAGCCTTGATTGGTGATTTCTGCTTGAACCAGTCTTCTCTGTGATGGGTACTAAATAATATTCCCACTCCAATATACCCTCCATATGTACTGGTCACACTCACCATTCTTCTATGAGCTAGACTCCATTAAGTATCTATTACTAGTGTGGAATCATAGATTCCTTTTTGTTTTTCAATGATACATAATTATTTTGATGCTCAAGTAAATGATTCCAGATTCTGCCAGTGTCTCTTATCAACCCTGTTCCTGTATCCTAATTTCTGTAGGATCTGTAGTAACGTCTGCCTCTCACTCCCGATACTGGTTAATTTCAGTCTCAGTCAGTCTGGCTACAGACTTACCAATTTTAGTGCCCAACTTTCAGGCAGACCAGGCCAGGGATTCAAAGGTTATCATGTGAAATCTGATTTCTCTTGAGAAGTGTATTGCTGCTGAATTTATAGAGACAGTCCCAAAATAATTTATGATTTCTCTTATTTCCTCGTTGACCTGTAGTTTATTACATGTGTGTTGTGTAATTTCCAAATATTCGGAAGGTTTTTTTGTTGTTGTTTTGTTCTTTTTTTTTGTGGGGGGGAGAGGTTTTTGCTATAGGGCGTGTGCGCTCGCCAGACGGACTGAGAGAGAGAGACATAGAGACAGAAAGCGAGAAATCACCCCCCAGGGGGATGGTCACACCGCAATCCCTTCTCCTCCATTCTCCTCTCGGGATCTAGGGCACGCACACACAGGCGCCCAGCGTGAGTTTTAAGCCACCGGGTCCGGGATGCGAACCATGGTCGACTACGTGAGAGTCCAGCGACATAGCCATTACACTAATTGCTGGTTCCCAAATATTTGGAAGTTTTCAGACATCTTTTTATAGTAATTTCTAGTTTATTTCTCTTTTGGTGGGAGAACATACTAGGTATGATTTTAATTATTTTGTATTTGTTTTACAGTACCAAAAATAGTTTGTCTTAATGTTCCACATATACTTGGAAATTAATAATACACTTACTGCCTGCATTTAGTAGAGTGAAATATTGCCAGTTAGGTCAAACAACCTGATAGTGTTGTTAAAGTCTTTTATCCTCCTATGATTTGTGTGTCTCCCTAAAATTCATATAGTGAGATTTGGTTGTGATGAGATTAAGATGGTAAAAACTTAATCAGACTATATGGTGTTGAAAAGTAGGGCCTTTGGGGAGAGAATAGGATCTGGGTCATGTGACCAGGGGCCCCTATAACGGATTTCTGATGGGTTTATAGGAGAGCAAATGAGACCAGATCAGAAATAACACAAAGACATATGCTCCTGTTCTCTCACAATATGACTTACTGCATGGCCTTAGGACCCCACCAATAGGAACACCCAGCAAATGTGGCCCATGGAGCTGGGACTGCTAAACCATAAGCTCAATAAACCTCTATTTTAATAAATTGCCTAGTTTGAAGTATTTATTTGTTATCAGCAATAGAAAGAACTACAGTATATCTTTGCTGACTTTCTGTGTTCTATCAATTACGAGATGAGTGTTGTAATACTTAACTATGTGTACACTTGGCTAATTTTTTCATTTCTATTCATTTTTCCTTTCTATATATTGAAGACCCATTGTTATATTCACACATATATAGAATTGTTATCTCTTTTGGTGGACTGATCTCCTCGCCATTATGTAACATCCATCTTTATCTCAGCTAATATTCCTTGTTCTGAAGTTTATTTCATCCAATTATAATATAGCTACTCCAGTTTTATTTTGATTGATATCTATATAGTATATTTTCTCATCTTTTTACTTCTATATATCTTTGTATTTAAAAATAGTTTCTTAGGACCAGCAGATGGCTATGTCGCTGGAATCCCCTGTAGTCAATGACAGTTTGAATCCCAGACCTGGCATCTTAAAATTCACACCAGGTACATGTGCATATGTGCCCAAAATCTTGAGAGGAGAATGGAGGGGAAGGGATTGTGGTGTGGCCATCTCACTTTGGCGTGTGTGTGTGTGTGTGTGTGTGTGTGATTTTTCACTTTCTGTCTCTCTTTGTCTCTCTGGTGACCACACATGCCCTACAGTAAAAATCTCTCCTAAAAAATTTAAAATAAAATAAAATTGGTTTCTTGTAAATCAGTATATATTTGGGCCTTTTTATTATGTGTATGTGTGTGTGTTTCTTTTAAAATTTGCTATAGGGTAAATTTGCTTGTCAGAGAGAGAAAGACAGAGAAAAAGAGAGAGAGAGAAAGTGAGAAAACAGCCCCTCACGAGGGATGGTCACATCACAATCCCTTCTCCTCTATTCTCCCCTTGGAATTTTGGACTTGCACACACATGCCCCCAGTGTGATTTCCAAGCCACTATGTCTGGGACTTGATCCACACAGTCAGTTATGTGGGATTTAGCTGCTTTAACCACTACACCACCAGCTGCCCCCTCTTGTGTTTTATGTCAATGTGGACAACCTCTCTTTTTTTTAAAACAATGGGATTATGTCCCAATAAATTCATTTTATCAATTAAAAATATCTTAAGTCAAAAATGGACATTTTGTAGACATACTGGGATGTGCAAATACAAAATGCAATCTGAATAAAATGCCAGCAAAACAGTATACTGAAGGGTACCAGCTGTGTACCCTCACAATTGCAGAGTATTGGACTATGCATTGCTACCTTGGAAAAAGAACGAAAATCAAAATATACCTTTACCAAATGCATATTGTTTTTGTACCACAACAAAGTTGAAAAGTCATAAGTCAAATCATTGTGAATTGAGGACCATCTATATTTTTATTTCAACCATTTCTGGAGATGTCAATTTCTTTGTGTACTGTCTTTCTGCTAAGGAATTTCCTTTAACATTTGTTGAAATACATGTTTGCTAGTGATGATTTTCTTATTTTTGCCTGGGAAAGCTGTTATATCACATTCATATATGGAAAATATTTTTTTCGAGATATATAATTCTGGGTTTGATTCCTTATACATCAGGCTACTTGAATGCCCCAAAATCTTAGTTCTCTGATGGATTCAAGAAAAGTTATGACTTTGTCTTGCTTGTTAGGTAGAAGTTTAAGTCCTTTCAGCTTTGACATTCCAGGCAGAAGCTAGAAATCAAATCTGAGAATATTAATTTGATTTCTTAAAAGATCTTCCCTGTTCTTTGTATGTTCTATTTTGGGGAAGTCAACTATTCTTTTTGTTCAACTTGGTCTTGTTCATACTGTTTTCCTCAAATATTTGATGATCCTTGGTTCTCGCTTCAAATCCATGAATAAATTATTAGATCAGACAACTGCTTCAGGTTTCCTTTGAAGCAGTGAAGATTTATTTATATAAAAGGCTTCATTCCTCAGTGCCAGCTCAGTATGGGTGAGCAGGTTCTACTAACTATTAGGCATTCCTTCAGAGTATAGAAGCTGGGAGAAGGTAGTACCTATACTTTAAGCTACCACAATGGTCAAATAAAGAGAACTTTACTTTGGAACTGTGTTATTTTAGGGTATTTCACTCCTAAGTAGCGCTTCCTTTAATGTTTAAGTTGGGGTCAGCTGTAAAAGTCTGCAGTCACTTTAGGCTCTAATCCATCTCTCTATCATGCCAAATACTTATGCCATGGGACCTAACCAGGTCAAGAATCCCTTATGTTTAGAAAGCAACTAGAGTAAATGCTATGGAGAGTCACCCTAGATACATGGGGGAAAGAGAACGGAATAGTTGGCCCATACATCTTGATTATACTCTAGTTAGTGCCTCACTCATCTGTAAACTTCCTGTGGGTTCTCTCTACCAGGAACCCCCACTACCACCTTTTCTGTTTGTGTTCTAGGCTGCAGTATTTTTCCAACCCAGTATACTCATCAAAACAATCCTATCTTCTTTGTGTCTTTGAAAACTGT